TCTCTGCTCCTCTTGCTCCTGGGGCAGCCGGGCAGGAACTGTGGCTCACCCCGGCCCCTGTTCTCTGGAGCAGCTCAGGGTTCCCTCACACACTAACAGTGCCTGGCAGGACCCAGCCCTCGGTGCCCTCAAATGTGTGGTGGTAGCTGTGGCATCATTGCGGGAGGTTTGGCTGCTACACAGAATGGAGGTGGGTGGCTTTTAGCCACTGGAAGGAAATTTGGGGATAAAGCTGGTTAATGCAGGTAAGTGGCACAGCCCAGGCTCTACAGCAACGCTGTTTTGGGGCTGGGACCCCAAAACACTGCTTCAGTTTCTTTTGTGCCACTTCACATACTCCCACAGGGAAACTCAGAGGGATRTGGCAGCTGCTCTGGCTGCTTTTCCAGCTTTTTTCCTGTTTTCAGCCACATCACATCTGGCACCAAGACAGCCTGATGGTGGTACATGTGGGACAGAGAGGGTTGTCCCCTTGGTCCTATGGGAATGGGGACAGGTATTCCCAGAGTGCAGAGGGGTGCTAATGTCTCCATCCCAGGCAATAGATGTCCCCATCAGGCACAGGGCTGTCACACGCAGTCCCATGCCAACTCCCTTGCCCATTGGGAGAGCTTGCCCCGTGCCAGCACCTTGGCACCATGGCATTCASCTATGGGGTACAGCATGGCACAGCCCCAGCCTGGCACACTTGGYCATGGTGCTGCTTTAGGATGGGAATAACAGGGTGCAAAGAACCAAGGAAACACAGGGCTTCAGCCAAGGRTAGGAAGCTGTTCAGGGAAACAGAGGCACAGAGGATGTGGGGATTGGTGCTTTTGTGTAAAGAGTGTCTTTTAAACTGCTTTTTGGCTTACATGGCTCTGAGTCAGGAGGCAGCAGGGCAGCCTTTGTGCACGGCTCCAGGGGGAAGCAGGGTTTATTTGCAAACACTGGAAGTGAGGACAGATTCCAGAGGAGACATAATTGTWATAGCCTTGAATTATCTGGGAATCAAGTTGCCAGTACCACCTCGTCTTCACCTGTCTGGATTTAACCCCCAGGGCTTCCCATAGGGGACAGCCTGAATATGGGTGAAGGAAGCAGGGACAGGATGGGGATTGAGATGGGAACAGAGAAGGGGACAGGGATGTCTACTGCCTTTGAAGTTGAGTTTAATCCTGTTAAAAGCACTGGTGAGTGTCAGAGCTGGGCTCTGCTTGGTAAGCCTGAGAAGAGCAACTCCACTGCTCTAGTGCTGTCACCTCATGGGTGGGCACCCCCAGGCCAGAGTGGGGGTCCTGCCTGTACCTGATGCTGCAGGAGCCCCCGAGGGTTGAATATCCCTGGTGAGCCCTGTGCCAGGACATGGACTGGAACAGCCACCTGTGAGATGTTGCTGGCCCCTGKGGGTACATGGGGCACCCCTGCTGCCTCCCCAAAGGAGCTGCATCCTACCAGGTGCTGGGCAGGAATCTACACTCTGCTGGATTGACAAGCTGAGCCCTGCTCTGGGGTGGATCCAGCCACCCTGGGCCATAAAGGACAATTTGGGGTGAAAACCAGTGTTCAGGCRTCCCCTGACTGTAACTCGCTGTGCTGGAGCTACCCCTCAGCCCTGGGGCAGCAGGGCATCTGGGGAGTGTCTGTCCTGGTCCAAATCCCATCCGTCCTCACTTGCAGCTCCTACGTGACCCSAGGGGCAGAGMCACAGAGCAGGTCCTGCACAGCAGSTGCTGGCACCCTGCCCTCTCTCATAGTGTCTGCAAGACCTGCTGCCTCTGGCACAAGGGTAGATGCTGTTGCCTCTGATCCTCCAGCATTTGTGGGGTGAAAATCCCACTGAAAGCAGCAAGGACACGCATGGGTCCCAGGGCCCAGCTTTGAGAGAGCTGCATCTGAGGAGGCTGGGATTCACCACCACTTGTGTTTGCTGGAGCTGGGACAGGTGCCCCTTCTTGGGGGTACTGCTCTGGCCCTGGGGTGGGCACATGGCTGCACCAGCTGTGCCCACCTCACACCCATTCTCCCACAGGACGGACCTCCGTTCCCAGCTTGGAGGCAGAAATCGATTTTCTGGCAGATGTGCTGGCCAGGCAGGAGGCTCCTCGCCACCACCCACTACAGGATGGCAGACCCAGGGGTAAGTGCTCGCGCTCTGCTCTCAGGGGTGCCAGGGACCCCATGGCAGCCATACCCTGCACACCAGGCTGGTTTGCCCTCTGGAGCTGCCCAGGCACTGCTCACTGTTGTGTCTTCTTCCACAGCCACCCTGGTGCCTGATGGCGGCACACAGCGCATGTCCAGTGGGCTGAGAGAGGGGCGTCTGCAGGGGGGTCCTGCTGGCACCATGGCAGCTGCCACCCTGCCCACCACTGCCACGGTCCAGAAGTACCCAGTGGAGGCATCCCCCATCCCTGCAAATGACAACATGGTGCTCGGTGAGCACCTTCTTACCCTGGGGACTTGTGGGAAGGGGTTTCACACCCTCATCAGGAAAGCATGGGCTGGTGTCACCATGCCACCAGCTGACCCCTGGCCTTTGGTGTCCCCTCTCTCTGCAGGGCTGATCGTGGTGTGCACGGTGGCCGGGATCTCAGCGCTGATCGTGGTGGCYGTCTGTTGGTACAGGTGAGCTGGGGCTGCTGACAGTCCCTCCATGTCCCTGTGCCCAGGGCAGTATATTCCTGTGCTTCCCAGGCATGAGGGGTTGGAAGAGAGGCAATAGCTGCCCTTGCCAGTCTCCCTGAGGTTGGCCAAGGCAGGAGGACAGTGGTGAGACACTCCTGTGCCAGGTGCAGGCTCCTGGGAGTGGGTGGCATYTGGTATGGGCATTGCTGTGGTGCTGGGTGCTGACGCTGCCATCACATTGGCACCTTGTGCCCAGGCCCCATGGGATGGAGGTGGCTGTGCCTGTCATGGTGTCATCACAGGGAACAGGACTGACCGTCTGAGGGTCACTGGCTCCTGAATGGAGTTGTCTGCTCCTATGGCTRCCAATATCCACTAGAATGGACTAGAGAAGTCATTGCCCCCACACTGGGCACTGGTGCTCAGAGGCTCTCCAAGTCCTGGGTTCAGTTTTGGGCCACTCATGGCAGGAAAGACATTGAAGGTAGGAGCTTGTCCAGAGAAGGGAATGGAGCTGGGGATGAGCACAAGTCTTATGAGGAGCAGCTGAGTGAACTGGGAGGGCACACTGGAGTAAAGGAGGCTCAGGGGGGACCTTGTGGCTSTGCACAACTCCCTGACAGAGGGGGCAGCTGGYGGGGGTCAGGCTCTGCTCCCAGGGAACAAGYGATAGRGTGAGAGAAAATGGCCTCAAGTTGTCTCARGGGAGATACAGGTTGRATATTATGGAAGATTCATGGAGAGGGTGGTCAGGCATTGGAAAGGGCTGCCCAGGGAGATGGTGGAGTCACCATCCCTGAAAGTGTTCAAAAAACGTGGATGTGGCATTTGGGGACATGGTTTGGTTGTGGACTTGGCAGTGCTGGCTTAATGGTTTGGCTTGATCTTGGAGAGCTTTTCAAACCTTAGTGATTCCCTAATTCTGATTCCCCTCCTGGCAGGCTGCAGAAGGAGGTCAGGCTGGCACAGAAAGCAGATTACTCGGCCCAGCGAGCAGCCAGCCCCCTGCCCTATGACAAGATCTCGGTAAGGCGCCTGCGGCCCTCCTTGTGGGGCTTGTGGGATTCGGGCCCCAGTGCTCAGCTGGAGGGATTCCCACGCGGTATAGGCCCCCCATCAGCCAGGCTGGTGGCCTCCAAAGCCAAGTCTGCACAGCTGTTCCTGCTCTCTCCACAGCCTGGGGACAAGACGCTGGCTCAGAGTGCCCAGATGTACCACTACCAGCACCAAAAGCAGCAGATGCTCTCCCTGGAGAAGTAAGACGCATGTCCTGCCATTAACTCGGGTGGCCCTAATTATCCCACTGGCTTCACCCCCTCTCTACATTCTCATCCCCCCAGGCATAAAGAGGAGCCCAAGCTGCCRGACTCAGCATCATCTGATGAGGAGAATGAGGATGGAGACTTCACCGTGTATGAGTGCCCTGGGCTGGCTCCGGTACGCGGGTGCAGGAGGGCCGGGGGTCTTTGTGCATGTGGGGGTGTCCAGCATGTGCCTGGGCTCTGCAGCTCCTCGTGGGGAGCCTTTTCCACACATTCTTCATCAAACCTTGAGGTTGTCCAAGCCCCCTGCTCCTGCCATGTCCCCAACAAGATCCCACTGGAGCTCTCCAGGGCAGGAGTGCATGTCTGGCACAAGGCTTTTCCCTGGGAGCAGAGAACAAGAGCAGCCCTTGGCACACCCAATCCACCATCTCTGTGGTGACAGGGACATGGCCAACCCTCAGTCTCCCGAGCACCAGGACTGGGGGGGGCTCATCTTTGTGCCACCCCAAGGCCCGGAGCACAGACCTGTGACCCCTGACAGCCACTGAGGATTTTCCTGGCTGGCAGGGGACCTCGGGAAAGGGCAGCTCTTAACAGCTCTGGGTACAAAGAGCACAAAGGGATGAAGAGGAGCCTTTTACATGGTAATAGCTGCTGAGCCCGGCCATCAGGGCCCAGATCGAGGGTCATCATTGGGTCTTTACAGGCCCATTAAACGGCACTTGATGGCAGGCAGGCAGTCTGGGCAGAGCATCCCATTCCTGCCAGCCAGGCTGGGGCAGCTGTTATGAAATCCCAAGCCCAGCTGTGGGGTCCCATCCCACATGGGACCTTGGGTTTTACACATCACCCCACCCCAACCCCTCCTGGCAGGGAGGCAGCACCTTTCAGGGTGATGGGAGTTTGTCATCCTTGTGTTTATCATCCATCACAGCCCACCAGGTCACCCCACCCTCCTCTCTGCCAGGCTGGGGTTCAGACCCAAATCCCTTGGGATGGGGCAGCTGAACCCTAACTTGTTTTCTGACCTTCTGCCTTTTTCTTCCCCCATCCCTCTCCCTCCACCATGGCAGACTGGAGAAATGGAAGTGAGAAACCCACTGTTTGACGACTCCTCCTTACACCACTCCAACCCCAAGTCGCAGCAGTAACCCCCCCGCCCCGTCTCCTGCAGCCGAGCTCGCCACAGACTGTGCCCGGCGGGGCGGCCGTGCCAGAGAGCCACCCACAGCTGGCCGAGGGATGCAGCCCCCACGCTGCCAGACTGTTCGAATCCTGCCCAATAAACACCCACCAACAGCTATGGGGGGCGGGGAATTGCCCCCGTTTCCAGCGTCCTTGTCCTCTTTGCTGCTGTGATCCTGTCCTTGCCTTGCCCTTTGCTCACGGCTCTCGTGGATGCAGAGGGCGGCTGCTGCTTTGGCACAGAAATTGTGGGAGGCYGGGGGGGCTGCAGCACTGTCCCGTGGTATCTGGCTTTGAGGAGGGGGCTGCTGCCCTGGCTGCAGCTAGGCTGATGTGGAGCAGCTGGGAAGGGGCTGGAGGGAGGGTCAGAAAATGAAAGGGCCAGGAAGGCTGGGCCTGCTCATGCCTGGCATCAGGGCTGACAGCCTTCCCAGAGCCCCTCAACCAGGGATGGAGCCTTTCTCTGGAGCAGGTGACATCACTGGGGCTTCAGTGCCCATGCTGCCCCCTCCACCCCAGCCTGGGCRGCTCCTGGCASCAGGATATGCTTCAGGAGCCAGTGGCAGGAGCAGCTCGAGCAGGAGTGGCTCGAGCAGGCACTGGCATCACTCCCCAGGATGCTCCTTTGGATGCTGCCCAGCACTCTGGCCCCTTTGGGGGTGCTGGGCTTCAAGAGGCTCAGGGGCTCGGACAGTCCCAGTTTCCAGCATCAGTGCTACCATGGCCTGGGAGCCCACACCAGGCTCTGCTGGCAGAAGATAGGCTCTCTCATACCACRGGCATCAGTGGGGTAAAAGCTCAGAAAAAGGGTTCAAGGTTTTGGTTTTAGGCTTATGTGGCCATGGGGGAGGAAGGAACAGGACTGGAGGGAGCTGGGGTGGCTGAGAGGGGTAGCCAAAGCACAGGGACTTTGCTGTGCTGCTTCAGACCCCACAGAGCCCATGCCCTGGCAGCATCCCTGTGGAGTGTGGCACCATGTGCTCTCTGGGCATCCCTCTGTCACAGGCAACACTGCTCCATCCCAGTCACCTGTCAGGCCTCAGACACTCCCTGCACCCCTCTGATGCCTGTGTCCAGCGTTATCAGCCCTCACAAAGATATTCTTGCTTGGAGCCCAGTGCTGCTCCTCAAAGCCCCACAAACGTGTTGGCTGTGACCCCCTCCAGTGGAAGGCCAAGGACAGGGTTTGGGTTACTTTGCACAGGTGGCTTCATGTCTAGACCCTGTTGTGTACTGTCACGGCCACAGGTGACCTGTTGCACTCACAGGAGTCATTGCACACTCGGGCAGACACAGGCAGGGCAGGCAGCAGTGGCAGGGATGTGCTGATGAGCGATGGTGGCATGGGACCGTCCCTGTCCCTGGCAGGGTGGCTGACGGAGGCTGTCATGGCACAGATTCTGTCCCCATGTCCTGCACTCCCTTTGCCCGTGGGCTGCTGCCACTCTCCCAACACCTCTTGTCATTGTTGTACGAATTGTAGTTCTTTTAAAAGGAGATTTTATTAAACGACCATGTTTGAGACTCATGCGAGTGTGTGGTGTGGGACCGGTGGCTCAGGGGTCTCCTCTCAAGCGCGGAGGTGAGGGGACAGGGAGGGAGGATGCTGCGGGTCCCCAAACCATCCCCAGGGAATAGTGAGCAGCCATTCTGCCTCTGCGGCTGGAGGAGCATTCAAACCCTTCTCAAGGGTTTTCCCCGACACGGAAAGAGTGGGCTGTTATTTTCTTGTTTCTCAGTATCTGCCAGGAGAGGTTTCTCCAGGGAAGAAGGGTGGGAGCCCCCCGCACCCAGCCCTGCAGCACCCAGTACCCACCCCTCCCTCCCCTCGCCCCCAGGGTCCTTCGCACCTCGGGGATGACAGATAAGGGCTATCGCGTCCTGCATTGTGTGCAGCTCCTTTGATCACGCCAGCCCCCCCATCAGGCTGATACCATCTCTCCTGGTTTCGGCAGCCGGAGGTGGATGCTGACTCATCGCCAAAGCACCCGGGATGCTTCTCTCCAGGGGGTCTCCAGATGCGGCCCGGGGCCATGTACACCCCAAATAACCCGAGACACCCCCAGGGCTCAGTTCTGGGGAACCCAGCCTCACCCCTGCCCCTCTCTGCCGAGATCCCCAAGTTTGTCCTTCCTTTGCTCCCACAACCCAGCAATCTCTCTTGGAGCACATCCAAATATTTTGGAAAGCTCTAGTTTATAGTAAAACTTGACTGTTCTGCCTGGGAATACCCCYTCGTTCCTGGCACAGTGGCCACAGGTGCCCTGTGTCCCCTGGGAATCCATGTCCCCACCACACATCTATGGAAGAGTCATTTGTCCAGGGACAAGGCACCTGTGCTGCAGACATCCAAGGGTTTCAGTCCCCACTTCATTTTCCCCAGCTTCCTAACACAATAGGGAAGGCCCCCTCAGCTGAGTTTGGAAGCACCAACTCAATCCTGTCCACCTAGGCCAGCTACAGCCCAGCAAGCTGTGCAGACAGGGAGCAGGTCGGTGTTCATCCAAAGATGGGGTGTCTGGAGCTGAGCCCCCTGCCCAGCCCTCTTTACATGGTCCTGGGATGGTGCCCTGACTGTGAGACCCTGACACACCATGAGCAGGACTGCAGCTCCTTTGGGTGGACAACTCAGGGGTATCCAGCACAGCCTTTCCATCACCTCCCACAGAAAAGGGTGGGATGGCCATGAATAAAACATCATCTGTGTTCATCCACTCTCTTAAAATCTTGTCCCCAAGCACCAGTGCCACACCAGCACACTTAGCAATGGGAGCAGATGTGCATCTCAGCCCTCTCCAGCCTGCTCCTGTGTCAATGAGCCAGAAAAGCAGATGTGTTTCTTTCTGCTCCCATTTTCTTAGCAGGATCCCACTGATCCCTACCTGCCTTAGACCACGGAGCCTGGCCAAGCCTGGAGCCACCAGCATGTTCAAGATACAGGCTTGTGGAATGATACATCCATCCATCTCCTCTGGAGCAGGCAGAAGAGACGTGGTCACTGGTGCTCAAAGACCCTGCACAATAACCTCACACGCCCCCCCCCAAAACCACCCCATTGAAATGTATGGGGGGGCACACACCGAGAAACCCCACTGACTCCTTCCACATCTCCCAGCTAAAACCATCACTGCCACAATGGGCCCGCTCCTACAAAGGGGCCGGTTCAAAGTCAACGTCTCCCTTCCCCTCTGTCTGTATATGAAAGGAC